ATTAAGTAGAGCTCCACATAACAATTAAAAGTTTTTATGGGAGAATTCAATCATACACGCTATGATTATAATTATAATTTAAAGTTCAAAGGACTAAATATGCCTAAGCATTTGTATCTTTTAAATTCGGAATTGTATTGCCCATTTGGTGCACAATTAATTTGAAATCGGATAAAGATATATATGGGAGCTATATCCAAATCTGAATCGATCTCGATAAAATTTGGCAAAGATATTTCTGAGCTGTATTTGATATATTTCCCTGAATATCGTTGTTACGGAGTGCATATTACGGTTGTGGGTAACAAATATAACAAATCGGATGAATAATATATATGGAAGCTATAGCTATATCTGAACCGATCTTCACCAAATTTGACATACTAGCTTCTAGACTCAATTCGGTCGCAAGTGCCAAATTCCATCCCATTTGGACAAATATTAGACGTTTGGTGCACAATAAAACGTAAATCGGACGAAGTTATATATGGCAGCTATATCAAAATCTGAACCGATCTCGATAAAATTTATCAAATGTATTTCTGAGCTGTATTTGATATATTTCCCCAAATATTGTTGTTGCATAGTGCATATTACTACGGCGGTGGACAAAAATAACAAATCGGATGAACAATATATATGGGAGCTATAGCTATATCTGAACCGATTTCGATCAAATTTGGCATACATATTTTCAGGCCTAATTTGGGTGTATATGCAAAATTCCACACAATTCGGGCTGATACTACACGTAATGTGCACCATAAAAGGCAAATCGGACGAAGATATATATGGGAGCTATATCTAAATTTTTACCGATTATCTCCAATTTCAATAGGGTTCGTCCTTGGGTCAAACAAAAGATCTTTGCAAAATTTCATCTGGATCGGGCAATAAATGCGACCTGTACTTTGTTTACAAAAATACATGGACAGACGGACGGACGGACATGCATAAATCGACTCAGAATGTGATTCTATGCAGATCATCAAAAGGAACTATGGGTCTATCTCGTTTCCTTCTGCCTGTTACAAACAAATGCACAAAGACATAATACCCTGACCACCTTGTGGTGTAGGGTATAATGACCACCTTGTGGTGTAGGGTATAAATACACAGCTACATAAAAAAGGTATTCAGAATACAACGGACGGACTGACAGGAACTTTAAATCTTTGTGTGATAAAATCGAGTTTTCCAAAGAAATTTTACAAATTGTAGTAAAAAAAGTTTAGGCCCAACGGTCCATTGAAGACGAAAATTTTTATCAGAAAAAAATGAGACTAAAACAGCATAAAATGTATGCCCGAATACTTTCTTAAACCAAATCGAACGTTATATTATTAAAAAAGAAAACTAAATAATTAAAAAATAAGTAAAGGGTTATTTTTAAAGGAGAAAAATAATTTTTAAAAATTAAAAATAAAATTAAAATAAATCATGAATTTTTGCTCTACAGAAATTATCTGCCTAGCAGGACATAAATAATCTAGCTTTGGAGATTTAATTGTTTTGTAATTTTTTTACCTAGAAATATAATGGATGCATTTTCATTCTACATAAAGTATTTCTTTGTTCGGAACAAATTCTAGGACTGAATTTATTTACCCCAAATAACCGAAGATTAAATTTTCTTTCCAACAAAATTGAGCTCTGGCATTTTATTGTTCAAAAACTAAAGGATTTTTTATAGAAACAGTTTAAAGAAACAATTTACATACTATCAGTCGATTTTACCGACAGATGTACCAAGTTTAAATGAAAGCGTTTTATGACCTGCATTAAAAATCAAAATTTTGACCCAGATCTGGTGTTAGTAAATATAATGGGATGTGTGAAATATGAAGGGAACCAGATGCCTATTTCGGATTTTATAATCGTTTTGGCCAATCAAAACATTAACCCTTAACCCTATCATCTTTATAACAGATCTTGTGTTGATGGAAAATATTGTGATGGACAAAGTCCGAAAGAAATCGAATGTTAATTTCGCGTTTTATGAGCTTCATGGGGATTCAACACTTGGACCCTTTCTGGGGGAGATACCAGAAGGAGTGGAACGAAAAATTACATCTTCACACGAGACTTTGGGTATTTATGTATGCGTAATTTGAAGTATTATGATGCGCGTAATTTGAAGACAGTTGAAGAAGTTATAATTATTCAAAACTTTGACCCTTTGTGGGGGAGGTACGATATTATCCATTTTTGCACCTGACGTAGCACTGATGGAAATATTAAGATTTACAAAGTTGGACCAACATTGGATCATCCTTTCTCTTTCTCTGCAGCAAAATATTTTTTTTTTTAAATTTTCGACCTTTTTGAACCAAAAAGTCTTAAATCTCTTTCCACAATGGTTGCCATTTCCATTTTCGTGGATCCTAGAAACCAACATTGACCTCAACTCTAGAAACCAATATTGACCTCAATATTAAATTTCAAAATTTGAACTCTATCCATTTATTCGACGGCAAATTTAATATTATTTGGTATCGTTTGAACTATTATGGTACGCATTCCCAAACATACCTCCTTCTTTAAAATTATGTACCAAGAGAGCTTTCCATATCAAATTTCAGAATTCCTAAGACCGAATACAACATTAATACCATGTTTTTCGTGCAGTTATACGACAAACACCTATATTGGCATCTATATTAGCTTCCAAACTTACAGCTCTGTTCCTTCACAATATACTGAACTTAGTACTTTTCGTACAATTTTATTGCACCTTTTCTAAACTGCCTCTATATCTAAATTCCACGTACCAATTGAGATCTCAATCTCAAAATTGAGGTTTCCAGTCCTAACTTTTCTTCTTTACGTACAAATATAAGACTCATTTCCTAAACACTGCCAAACCTGAAACACACTCAGCATCAATGAATGTCAAATTTTAGAATTTTATTAGGCAATTCCAAATATAGTGCCAATTAGTAATTTTCGTACTCATTACCGAAACAACCTACATATTTCTAGCCTACACATGCATAGCGATCCTAATACGAAATTTCAGATTTCAAGCTCTATCTGTTCACCCAATACCAAATATATAGGATGAGATGCAAAAACTGCAACCAACTTCAGACTGCTGTCATTTCTACACCACTCATCCGACAGCTGTTAAAATTATTCCAGTAATAGCTCATTATATTTTTTACAAACGTACAAAGGCATTTTGGTGAGAATTTTCCAGAAAAAAGTTATTCGTGATGAAATTCAAGCGTGATGGTTTGATTTCTTTATATTTGGATGGAGAACCACAACTGGCTATCGTTAGAGCACTCCGACACTTAAATGTGAATAAATCTTTTGTATATCGTACCATCGCTTAATCAATCGTGAGCTGAAAATATCGCAGTATTCCATTCGGCAAATATTGAAAAATGAGCTCGGGGTAAAGCCATTGAAATTCCAAAAAGTTCAAGAACTTACACCGCAGCAGAAAGTAAATAGACTCAAAAGAGCTAAAGAGTTGCTTCGCTTGGACGAACGTGGTGAACTGTCGAATTTGGTTTTCTCCGATGAGAAAACATTCGTTGATCGTATTTATTTGCAAAAGAGGTCAGCTGAAAATGCGCACCTTCGGTTGCCCACCAGAACTCAAGCGTCGGCCATGGTGATGGTGTGGACCGCCATAACAGCCGATGGTCGTTCTCTGGTCATATTTATCTACTGTGGCATCGGAATAAATGCCGAATATTAAAGCGAAAATATTCTGGAGGGTGTATTAAAGCCTTGGACACGCAAACATTTTGGCCGCAGATCTTGGATATTCCAAGAGAACTCAGCACGCGCCACCCAAGAATGGTTACAAAATGAGGTTCCTCACTTCATTTCCAGCGCACAATGGCCACCAAAATTTCCGGATACCAATTCGTTGGACTATTGTGTCTGGAGTATTTTGGAAAACAAGGTAGGCACTAAAAAATACGAAAGTGTCGATCACCTCAAGCAAGCGCTTCGTCTAGAATGAACCAAAATACTGTAGAGCAACATTCGGGAATCGTGTGACGGTTTCATTGGCCGTTTGAAGGCCTTTATTCGTGCCAAAGGTGACCAAATCGAACAAATCTAAACGTATTCTGAAATTTGATGCTATTTCCGACATTTTTGCTTTCATTCAATACAATTTAAAAAAAAGATTGAAAAAAGTATGGCGTTTGACTTTGTTGCAGTTTTTATCTCACCCTGTATATATCTTCAAATATTGTTCTATAGAAGGAAATTATTGATAACAGATTTTTTTCCTTAGAACAAAATTTTTTACTGCTTTCTTCGATAGAAAATATTGTTACAATATTTTTTGGCATAGAAATCGTCTAGGCAGCAATGTTTCATTAAAAAGTATAAGTTGCATATTTTTACTGCAGTTCTTCTGTAGAACAAAAAGAGGACCCCATTTTTTATTCGAAAAAAAAAATATAGGAAAAATCGGGATTTGTGTCGAAAAACTACATTTTTTTGTACATGGTAAAATTCGGTTTCTATACAAAAGAATTAGACCTTTATAAAATTATTTTTCCTATGGAAAAAATGCCCCTCTTTCTGAAGGCCTACTTTATTATTTTCTTCTACTACTACTAATACTTTATATATTTTCTCTCTTGTTTTGCTTTTATTTCCTTTTTTTGTTCTTAGGCACCAGCATCAATAAACAACAGCCGTCCCTCCATCATTAACTTAATTTCCTAATCAATTCACTTCATTGGAAATGTCTTGTTCTACAACAAAAAACACAACAAAGGATTACAACAATAAGAAAATAGTCTTCATGTTTATAATATCCTGCTAATTTATGTCCTTAGAGTTAATGGGTATTTTTTTTTTGGTGTTCCATTATTTTTGGCCCTTTTCCAAATGAACCCAGACAAATCCTCTTTAAATACACTTGAACTCAGACGGGGTTAATGACAGTCGTTGTTGTTGTTGTTTTTCTAGCTGTTGTTGTGTGTGTGTGTTTTTTTTTTTTTTTGTTTTCTTAGTCTATCACTTACCTGGTGGTCCCGGAGGTCCGGGTGGACCCTCAATGATGCCTGTTGGAAATTCATCACCTTTGATTGTTGTGGTAAGGCCACGATCGCCACGGTCACCTTTATCACCCTGCACACCGAGGAGAAAAAGAGAATGGAAGAGATAAAGACGGTTAAAAAGGACAAGTCAATTTTTGTTGTAAATATTTGAGTACACAACACTAACAAAAACAAAAGAGACAATGTAAACACACTGGCACAAAGAGCGTGTTTTTTTCTCTGTTTGTCTAAGGACATGTAAATATCCTTGCAAAATGTGAAAGGTAGGAAATTGAAGAATGTAAACAAAAGGAAGGCAATAAAAACAATAGCTAGAGTCAGTCAGACACAAATGTAAGTGAAGTGGCAGGCAACAAACCATAAAGCATGACAACACAAAAAGGGTCGGTCATTTGTTTAAACGAAAATGTATTTCAGGTTTTTGTGTCTCGTATCTTTCTTTGTTTTGCATGTTGTGTCCTTATTCTCCTTTTTTTTGCACAACACAAAACAATAGTTTGACATAATGTTTATTTCAGTGAATTAGGAAAAGATGACCGGATAAACAATAGTTGAGTAATTTAAAAAAGGTTTGAATGGCCGGGGTATGAGGGTCCTTTTTTTAAATTAAATTTATTTTAGGGACTTTCTAGGAGACAGCTGTATGGAATTTAAAAAGGCAATGGAAGATCATGGAAACATATTAAGAAGGCGGTTTGTAAAGCAGGCCCTCAAGGGGAGATATGCAGAGAATGGCATTAAAATTTCGGATCTTGGATCGGGTTTTAGATCAGCTTTGGAAATTTCTTTAGTTCCAATAAAATTTAGTAAAACAGTTGAGCCTTTAGACCAGAAGAACACTACCCCAGTTTTTAAATACATTTTGCGAACTATAAAGGAAAAATTCTCAGTCTATCCGTTAGCCACCCAAAAAACGGATTTTTATACCCTACACCGCAAGGTGGTCAGGGTAATATGACTTTGGGGCATTTGTTTTATAACATGTAAAAGGAAACGAGATAGACCCATAGAATCACATTCTGAGTCGATTTATAGATGTCCGTCCGTCCGTCTGTCCTTGTATTTTTTTTAAACAAAGTACAGTTCGCATTTATTGCCCGATCCAAATGAAATTTTGCACAAATCATTTGTTTGGCTCAAGGACGAACCCTATTGAAATTGGAGATAATCGGTAAAAAATTAGATATAGCTCCCATATATATCTTCGTCCGATTTGCCTTTTATTCTGCACCAAACGTGTAATATCAGCTCGAATAGTATGGAATTTTGCACATACAACCAAATTAGGCCTGAAAATAAGTATGCCAAATATGATCGAAATTGGTTCAGATATAGCTATATCCCACATATATATTGTTCATCCGATTTGTTATTTTTGTCCTCCGGAGCCGTAATATGCACACTGTGACAACAATACTTGGGGAAATATATCAAATACAGCTCAGAAATATCTTTGCTAAATTTTATCGATATCGGGTCAGATAACTCCCATATATAACTTCGTCCGATTTGCTTTTTATTGTGCCCCAAATGTGTAATATAGGATGGAATTTGGCATATACGACCGAATTAAGTCTAGATGCTAGTATTTGGTGAAGATCGGTTCAGATATAGCTATAGCTCCCATGTATACTGTTCATCCGATTTATTATATTTGTTCCCCACAGCCGTAATATGCACTCCGTAACAACGATATTCAGGGAAATATATCAAATACAGCTCAGAAATATATTTGTCAAATTTTATCGAGATCGATTCAGATTTGGATATGGCCCCCATATATATCTCTATCCGATTTCAAGTTAATTGTGCACCAAATGGGCAATAAAAGCCCCGATTGAAAAGTTGAAAATTCTTGGGCATATTTAGTCCTTTGAACTTTAAATTATAATTTTACTCATAGCTTGTATGATTTAATTATCCCATAAACAACTTTTAATTGTTATATGAAGCTCTACTAAATATGCAAAGTGGAGTAGGGTATTATAAAGTCCGCCCGCCCGACTTTAAGACTATCTTTACTGGTTTATTTCTGCCTGCGTATTGCCTTGCATAATTGCGTATTAATTTCCAACCAAAAATCATTTAATCAAGTTGATCACTTACCTTAAGTCCCGCAGGACCAGGTGGACCTGGAGGTCCCACTGGTCCGGGTTCTCCTTGTGGCCCGGCTGGACCAGCTGGCCCTGTTTCACCGGGTGGACCACGTTCACCATTAAGGCCGGGTGAGCCAATATCACCTGGGGGCCCTGGTGGGCCTGGAGGACCGGGTTCGCCAGGTTCACCCTAAAGAAATGAAATTATTTTTATTAAGTTCTTTAAATTTGTAAAATTTTTGAAATTACATATTTGTTTTATTTTCTACCAAATTTTGAAAAGAAATTTAATTAAAAAGCCAAAAATAATAAAAAATATTATAAAAATGTTATACCAGCATGCAGGAGAGATTCGACGCTAGAAAATGGTTATAACTTTTCATAAAGTTTTAGGAAATGAAAATAGCAAACAAAAATTATTTTTGAAAAATATTATTTTTATGGCAGTAACCTATAGAAACATATTCCATGCCGGTTCAAAATACATTTCTAAACAATTTAATAAAAAACTAAATTCAAAATCTGTCTGTTCCAGAACCTGCTGGTATTGCAATTTTTTGTATTCACTTATTTAATTTAAAATAGAATACACATTTCAATACCTTCTAAGTTTCGATATCATGAAGGAAAATTCGGTTGTCGTAGTATAAACTTTTACATTCTTGCAGTTCAGGAACAAACAATTAGTTTCAAAATAAATCTTCAAAGAATGGTATAAATGTCTAAATATTTTTAAAATAAATTTTAAAATTTTCCCCATATGCGAAAACTTGTTCCGAAGCTGGCTAAAAAGTAGCTCCTTCGCTAAGGGTAAGCCTTTCGGCAAAAAAATAAAAATAAATAAATGAACTCCATTCCATTATGCCATTTCGATTCTTCTTCTTTTTTATAACCATTTTCACCCGCTTCATATCTCTCTTGTTAATCTACAAAACCTACTTACCTTCAATTGTATTACAGTTGCCGTTGAAACATTAACACCGGCTTCTTGTAAACCCTTTTTTAAGTTGTTTTTTGTTTTTGTGAGTGTTAATTAAGTGTTGTGTTATTTATATGCCAATTTTAGCCCCAAAAATATAATACCACAACATAAAAAAACGGAAAAGAGAAAAACAAAAAATTCATAGCGATAAAATAAAATTATTTAAAATTAATAAGGAAAATGAAAACTTTGAAATTTGATAACAAAAAGGGTTTAAAGAATGCAAGGATAGAGCTGAAGGATTGTAGGAATAGGTATAGGTATAGGACTAGGTGAGGCAAGGTGTTCTAACTTCTGTAAGGAATATGATCGCAACAGATCACCAGACACGAAATTATAAAATAACTCATCGAAATATAAAATAATGATTTTTTACTGTTTTTCAATAGGCAGTAAAAATTGAACGATTAATGTTTTAAAATGTACTGACATTTTGTAATTTTCTTACCCTTGTCATGCGAATTTTTACCCAGAATTCAGAAATTCTTTTACATTTAGCAATTTACTGCAAAAATTCTAAATTCATATCCCTTGGTCTATGAACATTTATACAAGTATACACCCTAACAATATTCTTGATGTTATGATGTTCTGATGTTAAAAACTTCTAATCCATTAAAGTGACGGATTTTGATTAAAAATAATTCTTCTTGTAAAAAAATATTTTTTTTGAATATGTTTGGTATATATGCAAAAGTTGTGAGAAGTGTAATTTATTTTGTTTGCAGCTATGAGTTTAGAAACGACAAGTGATTACAAATACACCAGCAGTATGACAGAAACTAAAAGAGTACTCGTCAAGAGTAGAATCTGCTCAATTTCGATTGAATTTTCCCCGAATATATAATGAACAGATGATACTCGCTCTTATTCAAGCTAGCAAATAGAGTATGCTCTCTACTCTCAGGATTAAAGAGTAAAACTCATTCTGAGATTTGAATCAGTAAGGAAAGGTCAAAAGTCGGGCGGGGCCAACTATATGATACCCTACACCAATATGAGTATTTAGTAGAGCTCCCGTAACAACAAAGTTTATATTGGGAATTTATGTGAAGTAGATCATACCAACTATGAACCAAATAATATATTTAAAATATTTATTGCAGCAATATATGTGCCGGACCGAATTTCACCAAATGGTAAAATTCGGTTGAATATGAAAAGATCTATTTAAGTTCGGCTGATATTACATATATGGTGAGCGATATCCGTAAAATCAGATGAAGATCTTAAACGAAGCTATATAAAAATCTGAACCGATTTCGATAAAATTTGGCAGAGGTATTTTTAAGCAGTATCTGATGACGGCATCAAATATCATTGTGGTGGATCGCATATTACGCATTTGAAATCCGTCGGAAGGGTCATAATTCGGTTCATTTGGTCTATTATTAGCCATTTTGTGCACAATAAACCTGAAATCAGAATAATGATAATATATGGGAGCTATATTCAAATCTGAACCAATAAAATTTGGCAAAGGTACTTCCGAGCTCCATAAGATATCTGGTACCGAATATCATTGTTGTGGAATGCATATTACGAATGTGAGGGACTTAAACACCAAATCGGATGAAACATATATATGGGGGCTATATCTATATCCGTGCCGATTTTCAGCAAATGTGATGTATTTTCTTCTAGACTGAATTCGGTCAGATATGCCAAAAATTCAGGTAATTTAGACTGTTATTGGCCATTTGGTGCACAATTAATACGAAATCGGTTGGAGATATATATGGGAGCTATATCCAAATCTGAACCGATCTTGACAAAATTTGGCAGAGATAATTCAGCCCAACTATTACCAAATATCATTGTTATTGAATGCATATTACGAATGTGAGGGACTTAAACAACAAATCGGATGAAACATATATATGGGAGCTATAGCTATATCTGAACCGATTTTCTCTGAATTCAAATGTACTTGCTTCTATATTAAATTCGGTCAGATATGCCAAAAATTCAAGTAATTTGGACTGATATTGGTTATTTGGTGCACAATTAACCCGAAATCGGTTGAGGATATATATATGGGTGCTATATCTAAATCTAATCCGATTATCTCCAATTTCAATAGGATTCGTCCTTGGACCAAACAAATATTGCTTGCAAAATTTCATCTCAATTGGATAATAAATTCGACCTGCATTTTGTTTACAAGAATATACGGACGAACAGACGGATTGACATGCACAAGAAAGTGACTCAGAAAGTGACTCAAAAGTAACTATGGGTCTACCTCCCTTCCTTCTCCATGTTACAAATAATACCACTGTTGTGTAGGGTATACAAATATATTTAAGATATACTTAAAAATTCACGATTTTTGATTCGGAAAATACTCTCTAAAATATCTTAAAATCGTGTGCGCTAAAATTGAACGAAACTCGCGGACGGAATTCGTGATATTTCAACAAATTTACCTATATTGGGGAGTTAGCAAAAGAAATCGGACAATGTTTCCATTTTTTAAAAGTCTTAAGAAATAAATCAAATTTGAAGGTGGAATCCACACGAATAGTATATATTCCTTACTACAAGGGCATCAGGATCCTCCAATATTTTGACCAATATCAATCTACATATCCCATTTTCACATTTCATTTCAGTCATTTCAGTCATTTCACAGTCATTTGATCTCTCATTGGCAAAAATATTTTGAAGAGCATAGTTTGAAAAGAATTGACCATTTGTTTGTATCGATATTTTCAATTTTTGCACCTGATCAAAGTTTACAATATGCCAAGTTTGGTCTGGCTGCCCTTCGTCTTATATGTGATTTAATGTTTAACAATTTGGCTGTTTATGGGGGAAGGGTCACCAAATGGAGTTTTATATGGACCACGCATTGTTGTCGAAAATATTTCGATGTAAAAAGTTGCAAAACATTGGGAAACTGATTTTAGATTTTATGAGTGCTATTTATATTCAAAATTTTGTCGGTTGGGAGGGACGATAAGGAGCGGATCAATATTATCCACTTTGAACCTTTGCCTTAAATAAATATTTCCAAGTTAAAATTAAACTGAATACCCCCCAAGATTAATATGAGAATTATATTTTTTTAAAGTTTTGAAGTTTTGTGGAGAACGTGCCAAAAGCAGTGGTCCGATTTTCCATCAATGATTTGGTAAAAATATTATATGTGGCAAGTTTGAATTATTTCGGGTACTCCCTGCTTATTTGTGAGATTTTTAATTCTTCGCATTATTTTGAACTTTTGTTGAGGAAGTCCCAAAGGGAGTGGACCGATATTGCCCATTTTTGAACACAAACAAGATGAGGTGAAATATTAAGCTGCGCCAAATCGTTTAAGGGTTTTAGTGAGTACCAGCCACTATCACAGTGGGGCTAACAGTTTGACATGGCTAGATCGCCTTCAAAACGCCCTTAAAAAGGTTCCCTGATTGAGAATTTCGGTGTATTAAGTATAAGACCATAATACTGAAATAAAATTATACAGAAAACAGATCATCCCTCCCACAAAAAAAAAAAAAAAAAAAAAAAAATAAATTTGAAATTTTCTTTGACACTGTTCCAAAAGACAAAAATGTCTACTCAGCTCTTTAAAATTCCCAAAATTAATCTTTTTCAGAAAAATTTCACAAAAATTCGTGTATATGTTTTATACATTGAATATAAATATTTGAACTCCCCCGCCACAATTTCTCGCTCCCCTATCCCATCTTTTCCCATTTTCTTTTGCTAAATTAAATTCATTTTGGCACATCATTTTGTTTTCAATTTTATGCAATATAAATTTCATTATTTTCTCATTATGAACAATAAGACGAAGTCGAAGCCACAAGAACCCTTTACTCTCTTGTGCCCTCCGGCCTAATGTTGCTATAAATTTTGACCACAAAATTACTTGTTGTTGCAGCTATGGACTAATGCCTGGCTGGCTGGGTTTTTGTTTACACCACATTGTTGTGTCTAGTCAGGCTACTGTTTTTGGGGGGAAAAGTTAATGTTTCTTTAACACGTTGTTGGTTTTCTTTTGTTTTCTTATTCCCATTTTTTCTTTAAGTAATAATAAAAAAATTATTATAAACTTTTGTGTGTATATTTAAGGGGAAAAAAGTATATCAAACACAAAACCCCAAAATAGAAAATAATAAAATTACAAAAGTTATTTTTTTTTTGCTTGGTTATTTCTTATGGCTTTCCTTTGAGCCTGAAATGAATGAAAACACCCACTTGGCCATAAAGCCGGGTGTTTATTTTTTGCAACCAAAATGTTTTGTTTTTTTCCAAGTTTAATAATTTTCATATTTCTTGAGGAAAAGTTTATGTTATTCTCTGCTAGCCATGAATCGTTTCTTTTTTTTTTTTCTTTTACTCCCTAGCCATAATTTAATGACCAGAACTTGGCATTTTCATCCTCCTGTGGGAGATATTAGTCTTGAATTACTCAGGAATTTTGTTTAACTGTAAGTGTAAACTCATCAGGTTTCAAAAACAAAAGTTTTTCAATTGTGTTGGGAGTTTTTGTTTTTGGGCTCTTTTTTTGTGAAAACGATTTGAGTAGACATTTCGAGTAAATACGATTTAGGTAATTATTTTGTAATTTCAGTTTATTTAATTTACTTCGAAATGAGAAAATGTTATTTAGATGTAATTTTCCAGAAGAAAATTACAAAAGTTTTTTTTTGCAGACTTCAGTTTGAAATGCATGACGAGGATTATGAAGTGGGTAAACAGAAATTGAGATTTTAAAGAAAAAATTGGGATTTTCTTGGAATATTATTCTTTAGAGGAGAGTACGGAGGTATCAACAAGTTGTAAAAACAAGTAAAAAAGTTGGTTGGTTTTGCGACAGATGTATACCCTCTGCCAATGTTCAATTATTTGAAAAATTTTGACTTCTGTTATGATTATTCAAATGTTTAACCCCTTATGCAGTAGGTTCCGAAGGAATGGACCAATATTGGCCATTTTGTGTCGGACCTAAATAAATATCAATATCGGATTACCCCTCTATCTTTGTGCAAAAAATATCTTTTTTGAAATTTTCGAAATTTTGTGGGGGAGGTACCAAAAGGAGTGGGCCGATATTGTCCGTCTTAACACCAGATCTTGGGTTTATAAAAATATTGGGATGTGAGAAATTTTAAGACAATCGGATTCTTACATCACATTTTATAAGAGTTATATTTATTCAAAATTTTTACCCTTTGTGGGGGAGGCACTTGATGAAGTGGACCGATATTATCCATTTTTGCACCTGACCTAGAACTGATGCAAATATTGGGATTTGCTAAGGTAAAGAAAAATCGGATTATCGTTTCTCTTTCTGTGCACCAAATATATTTTTTGAATTAATTTTATTTTTTAAATACTTTTTTTGTAATTTTTGTAATCCAGAAATTGAATCTGTGGAGTTAGGAGGAACAACACAATATGGAGTTGAATTAAAAAAGAAATCACGAAAAAATATAAATTAAAGCGAGAAAAAATTAGAGAACCCATATTTGATTTCGTCCTATATTCATTTTATCTTACCTCAAATATAGACCTTAAATGGAAATTTTCAAAAAGAAGCTACTTAAAAAATATATTAAAAAAACTTAAGCCAAATAAAAACCAAAATATCTACTTTAAAATCGAAAATGCAACTACAGACACCAAAAATAACACCTTTGAGAATAAGTGATTTGAAAGAAAATTTCTTCATAAAAATACCTTGACTGCTACAATTTCCGCATAGCCTAAGGTACCGCCATGTAACGTTGTTACAGATCGCTTAAGGCCCTGGAATATTCGTTGTTTTGTAATTTTGTTGGAGATGAGAAGAGGATTTGTGGGGAAAACATTTATGGTTAGAATGACACACATAATAATATTTTTTCGTTTTTTAATAGTTTCCATTATGGAATTGAGTAAACTTACCTTAACTGTTTGGAAAACATCAATGCCCGGATGGCCAACATCTCCTTTGGAGCCTTTGTCACCCGGTCTGCCAGGGGCACCTTTTTCGCCATTAATGCCATTCATGCCCTTAAAGTAAAAAATTAAAAAAGTTAGTATTTTTATTATTATTATTAATATTATTATTGTTATTTTTATGATTATTATTCTTCTTCTTCTTCTTATTATTATTATTATTATTATTATTATTATTATTATTATAATTATTATTATTATTATAATTATTATTATTATTATTATTATTATTATTATTATTATTATTATTATTATTATTATTATTATTATTATTATTATAATTATAATTATTATTATTATTATTATTATTATTATTATTATTATTATTATTATTATTATTATTATTATTATTATTATTATTGTCATTTTTATAAATTTAATTATTATTGCAATGCTTACCGGATCTCCTTTCTCGCCAGGATCACCTTTCTTGCCACGTTTCCCCCGTTTGCCGGGTGGACCTGGTGGGCCGGGAGGACCTGCAACAAAATGAAAAATAAAGAACTATTTATTTTAATATTCCATCAAATGAAATGAACTTAAAAATATTTTATAAATATTATATTCTAACATACTCTCTGTCTAGGCATAACTTCCGTTTAAAAATTGCAAAAATTTGCATTCCCAACGGGGGGTTGCTTGAATTTGGCTGCCGCTGCCAGAGGCTCCTAGTTTTTATTTTATTTATTCATACATTATGCCGCAAAAATGGCGGGAAAGTTTTGCTGTCTGTCTGGTGTTGAAGTGCAATGACATTACAAGTGCAGACAACAGCAATACAATGTATCTGTGCCACATACACATAGGTTTTTGGGGGTTTCAGATATTCAGTGCAGTGGGGAAATTTAGACATTTAAATTTAAAATATGGAAAATAAAGTTTTATAATAAAAATAAACGCATACAATGACACAAAAAATTAAATAACAATATAAAATAAAAAATGTATTAAATAAGTAATATTAATAATAGTAATAATAATATTAATAAAATAATAAATTGATTAATGAAACAATTGTTACAAATTCAAATATAATTTGAAATTTCAATTTAGAATGTGGAATATGATTTCTTATAAATAAAAATAATAATATTATTAATACTAATAATCATAATAATAATAATAATAATAATAATAATAATAATAATAATAATAATAATAATAATAATAATAATAATAATAATAATAATAATAATAATAATAATAATAATAATAATAATAATAATAATAATAATAATAATAATAATAATAATAATAATAATAATAATAATAATAATAATAACATTAATAATAATAATAATAATAATAATAATAATAATAATAATAATAATAATAATAATAATAATAATAATAATAATAATAATAACAATAATAATAATAATAATAATAATAATAATAAGAATAATAATAATAATAATAATAATAATAATAATAATAATAATAATAATAATAATAATAATAATAATAATAATAATAACAATAATAACAATAATAATGCACCAGATATGAACTATATTGGTTACTATATATATGTCATATTGTTTAGAAAAAATTACCATTACCAGATATTGCCGACGAAAGTTTCCCGTTTTCATACCTCAGATTGGTAGGGGCAAAATTACAAGTTACAAGTTTCTAGTTGAGAGAAATATTTAGATATAGCAAATTGTAAAGAATCGCTGATTTGTTTCGCAATTTATGACAGATAAGTATTGAAAACTATGACCCTATGTGGGTGAGGTACCAGAAGGGATTCGCAGATATATAGCATCCTCACAACAGATCTTGTGTTAGAAAAAATGCTGGGATGTGCGAAATTTGAAGACAGTTGGATACTTATTTCGCTTTCTTAGAGCGTTTTACTTTTCTTGAAACCTTTGTGCGGAGATAATAGAAGGAATAGTCCGATCTCTACCACCTTTATCATAGACCTTGTATTGATGGAAATATTGAGATGTGCCAAGTCTGAATGGTTAATTTTCGCTTCATGAGCTTCAAAGATATTCAAAATTGACCCTCTATGGGGGAGGTACCAGAAGGAGTGAACCGATATATTCCATCCCCGCACCAGACCTTGGGTTAATAAAAATATTGTGATGTGTGTAATTTGAAGACAATCTGACTCTTACATCACATTTTATAAGAGTTATAATTATTCAAAATTTTGACCCTTTGTGGGGGAGGTACTTGAATAAGTGGGTCGATATTGTCCATTTTGGCACCTACACTAGAAGTGATGCAAATATTACGATTTGCAAAGTTGAAGCAATATTCGGAATATCCTTCCTCATTGTGTGCAGATAAATATTTCCTTTGAAAATTCGACCTTTTGTGGGGGGAGGTACCAGAAGGTGTGGATCGATATTGTCCATCTAAAACTCGATCTAAGTTTGATATTTATCAAATTATATCTGAAATGTCCATATGACTGAGGGTATAAAAATCAAATAAAATATATGGCGGATTTTCTTTTTTATTCTGTTAACGTTACCTGTCGTAATTTCGGGCACTGGTAATATATAAATAAATATAAATTTACCAAAAAAAAGGCTGTATGCTCGTCCGGGCCGAAATTTGAATTCCCTTCACCATTTGGAACGAATTTAGCAATTTCCAAAAAATAAAATACTTTAAAAATTCTCTTAAAATCTCAAAAATACCGAATGTGGCCGTAATTTAGGATCTATACGACGACGTGGAACTGCATAGGCAACTTTGGTCATAAGCCATTACAATATTCAAATGCTAAACTTGAAAAAAAAAAAGATTCAATGACAATATTAATATACCTTCCATAATATGGTGAAGGGTATAAAAATATACAAATAAAAAATTTTAAAACGTATGAAAATTAAACAAAAAATATGTATTTAAATGTATATTCCATAAAAAATCTTTAATCCCGCATGCTCCACTTGCTACTACCATGACGAAACCATTAAATCAAATATTGAACGATATTTGCTTCTGTTGATAGAACCAGTGTTTTTTTTCTCCTCTCTTTTCCTAGTAGGCGTCATTGTTTTGTTGTTGTTGCTGCTGTTATTTTCTCATCGATATTGTCTATTAGTGGGATAATGTGACAACATAATGATGGTAATTGAACATTGTCGTTGCTAATGCCATTATCTTCCTTCCAAGCTATATATTTATTGCCAACACAAAACACCAGACACAGAAAACTTCTTATCCCTGGATAGACATACCAACAGACGGTTGGACAGACAGAGAGCCAAGCAGTCAGCCATAGACCAGTCATCATATTAAACTTAAATGAAAAGTTCTTAAATCTCACTTTTGTTCTTCTTATATAACACTACTAGATTTCCAAGGGAACCCACGTCATACAAAAGGAGCAGTCTGCCGAAGAATGTATGTGTGTGTGTGTGTGTGATTGACATCCAAGTGTGGGGGCCAGACACACACACACACTGAAGACACATTCAGAAAGATTTAGATGCGTGTATTCATAATAAATATGACAGCATATAATCTCTTCATGTTCTTTTTCTTGTGGCAGGGAGAGAGAGATAGAGAGAGAAGACAGGACAGACACCCAAACAAATACATATTTAGATGGCACGCACATGAAAAACGCTCAAGTAGTAGACATTAAGAGTGAATTATGCGATGTTATGACAACGTCTATGGGTACTTGGAATGAAGATAGTAATCGTGGGATGGATTGACTTGAAATGATTTCGACTCTCGAGGGAGCGGAGAAGGAGGAGTAGATTATTCTTACTGTTTGTACAGTAACTACGTTTAATTCCCAGAAATGAATTAGGTCTGCGAGAAGAATTTCGCCAGACTTAAGGAAATGTGATAATGAGTGTTTGTGAATTTGATATATGTGCGTACTCCAGGAGTGAATCTGTAGTTTATGTTATAATTGGCAATTCAGTTGAATATTGAGATATGGTGTCGATTTGAAAGGCTTTTCATATGAATTATTTATAGAAATTGTCTCTCCTACAAACAGTGTCTCGAAGATTTTCATGATTTTTGATGATTTCCCAAAATTCAGTCTTTAATGCTCCCTTCTACTCTTTTAAATATTTCCATTTCTATGACTTCTTAAGAAAACTGTCCACCGCTCTTCAATAGCAGCAACTTGTCGTAAACTGCTTCTTTTTTTTTTGCGAATATTCCACTTATTTATTTTTCAATTCCGTGCCGAATCCCTAGGTTAACATTTAGTTAAAGTTTGAAATGTCAACTCTTATTTCTTCCGCGCCGTGACACATTGCGAAGCAAAACTTATTTTTCTGTCAAACACACAGCTAAAACCTAAAATAAACCTCGATGTAGAAAGAAAGAAAAAAAAAAAAAAAAAACACACACACACACATACAAACAAAAAATGCAAGAAGAAAAAGAGGAAACACCAAACAAGGTTCAATTGGTTTAGTGGCACGTCCGCAAAACGTGTTGATGCGTAACCGTTGAGGACGAAACTTGAATTGTATAAAGAAGGATAAGGAATGCAGTAGCAAGAATAACAGCAACAACAACAACCAGAAGAATATCAACCAGCTATTTATAGCTGTCAATAGTGAGCATCAAATGGGGTCACGGATGCATAACTATTTACCCACATACACCTAATGGTTAAAATCAATAGATATTGGGGTGTATTGAAAATCGATAATATAGAAAAAAATCTTTCGTTTTGCCCCTCAAAATTTAAAAAAATTGGTTGAAGTGTATATTTATTAAAAAAGCGGATCAGACTGAATTTTTTTAAGTTGCTCGAAAATCCCTAAATCGGATGAAATTTTTTAGAAGAGAGTTGAGTGATCTATTTAATTTAATTATATTATAAAATTTAATTGTAGGGAGATCTAAAAAAATTGAAAACTCTAAAGAGCATTTTTAAAGAAATTTATTTTAAACAAGTTAAAAAGGAGTAAGTTCAGCAGGGCCCAACTTTGAATACCCTCCACCATTTGAAACGAATTTGAAAATAAAATCCTTAAAAAATTCTGTTATAATTTTTAAAATACCGAATATAGCCGTTATATTGGTGTCAGGCATTGTTTGTCATAAGTCATTACCAAATTTAAATACGGAACTTGAAATAAACGGTGAGTAAGGTAGCTAAAATCATCAATTACGAACTTCAAATACGACATTTCAAACAATTTTGGTGAGTATTGTACATAAACTCGTCAAAATACCGAATATAGGGCGGTACTGGTATAAGGGGGATATACGAAGACCTGGAGCTGCATAGACAATTTTCTGTCACAAACTGAACTCTAAATGCGTAATTAGTGAATAATGACGCTAAAATCACCAAAATACCGAATATAGGGAGATACCGTTATATGGGGGCTATACGAAGACAATTTTCTTTCTTAGGCTGTAGTATCCATTGCGAACTTCAAATACCAAACTTTAAACAATTCCTCTTAATAATGACGCTAAAATCACCAAAATACCGAATATTGGGAGGTACCGTTATATGGGTGCTATA